GCTCGTGAAGACATGTACGTGACAACAACATCTCACCTTCAGGGCTGAGCTGTGCACGGTGCTAAACGTTTCTGTTACAAGCCAGCAGTCGTATCAGCGTTAATACTGGTATTACATCAAAAGGCAAGCTGAGAGGAGGAGTACACGAAGCAAAGGTGTTTCTCCAGCGCTGCACAAAATCTTCTCAGAGTAGTTAGTGCAACGTCTATGCTACAGATACTGGTATGTATACCCACTTCTCTGAAAAAATAGCAATGGCCCGCTAAAACATCAGATCAACTCATGCTACCAAGACATTATTGCAACAAACTAATTTTCAAGCTTTGCAACAACTAGCTGTGTCTGTTAAAAAGGCGGCTCCCACACCGTGATGTTCAACTTTGTACACGGGGTTTAATTGAGTGTAACTACGTCAGGGCATTTGAACACAGGTGTCCCTTTAGCGAAAGTAAGTAAAAACGGAGGGCTTTGCAGGCACAGATGGTCAGAGACAGGGTCTGTGCTCTCTCTCTCTTCTCATGTCTGAAAGTTTGATCCTGAAAGCCTGATTGTGGAGGCTGAAGTCGATGTCACCAGTCTGCAAGTTGTTTCTGTAAAGCCACTGATGCAAACTTTGGGAAAAGCCAGTTAGAAAGCCCTTCTCTAGACTAAGCGTTACAGAAAGAATTCACTTTGTAAAGGATGCTCAGAGTTACCTGGAAAGATGCTTTGGACAACTTTACTGCCAGACACTTTGGTATGCCCTTACTCCAGGGACCGACTTTCCGCACGCACTGGTGAAGCCCAGGGCTGGCCATGCCTTCCACATGACCCCAGGCACACTTCCCCTCACACAAGACCTGAACAAATCAAACCTGCAAATGGCACTGCAATCCCAGCCAGAATTAAAGCTGAGCTTCCCCAAACGCAGCTCCCCAGCCTGGGCGGAAGGGTCAGGCAGCCCTTACGGCCTCTAGTCTGAGCCTGCTCAGGTCCAGCCCCATCTGCTCCCCTCACGCCTTGCCCCTAAGGCAGCCAAATTGCTCCCTGTCCATTCCACCTTGTTTGTTAATATTTTTCCACGTAGTTGGTACTAGCCAGATGACTGCCTGCACTGTAAGGCATCAGCTATAATGCCTGGAATCTTTACGCAGCAGCAAGACGAGTTGTTTGAAAGCCTTCATAAAATTGTAAGCAGATAGTTCAGACATTCTGATGAAAAGTGAAGGTTTTATTGTGATGTGACTGACAGTCTCTGTGAAGAGTATTTACAGTCTGACTCTTATTACTAAAAACACCATGACAGGTAGAACTTGACGTGGATGTATAATGGGGAGACGATGGGAAATTATGACAAAAAGAGCTCATTAAACATTTCACTTTTTTAGAACAGATAATTTCACATACAGAGCCACAATCTCTAAGTGGACCGTGTACCACTTAACACAGGCTCTTCGGGGTAAGCTTGTTTTCTTTGTCTGGCTTGATGTCTATTCTCAGTGAAGGGAGAATAGGAGAATTGGTCTAAGGAAGGAGCAGAGATAAAATAGGAATGCATAAAAGAAGTGTGAGTTGATAGGGAGGAAGGGAGAGGTACTGGGAGGATGCTGGGTATTGTGAAAAGAGCGTGCGTCGAGCTGAGCTTTACGCCTGGCAGAGGAAATCTACAGGAGAGCGGGATTTGCTGGGAAGGGATGCAGCAAAAAGACAGGGAAATAAATACAAGAATTATATTGAGTAAGCAGTCTTTTCATCCCAACGTCAGAGAAGTGACTTGGCGACCAGCCACCACTCATGACTGAGTTCAGTGGGTACGTTTGAATTCCGAGATCCAAGACTCACTCCTTTCTGCCTCATTTGCACCGTATTTACGTTACTTGGTATCAGAGATCATGGGGAGTCACACTATGAAGTACTTTGACACCTTGTGACAAATGACAGCACAGTACTGTGTAAGTACATCAGCTGTCTGAGTGGATGTACCATGCTGGATACTTCTGCTTCATGGCATTACCAGGAAGATGCTTCATCCCTTCAGCCACCACGGCATCCCATACGCACTGAGAAAATACTTGCCCAAATGCTTCCGATTTCTTAGGAAGTTATATCTCCTTGATATAAAATCAGTATGAATTACACTTCCCAATTTCAGAGCCACCTTTGAAAAAAGGATTCTGGCTTTTAGTTTTCTACTGTGGTAGACCTCAGCCCACCTAAGCCTAACTATTTACAAGTTATCACAGTGCAAGTCACTGAAGCTCCTCTGCAGCCATCAAAGAATGATGTCCAGATGTACATTTATTTCCACCCTGGAGGGACACCTCATGCAGACAGGAGGAATTTCCCCGTGAAGTGCCTGTTTTCACTGGGTACAGAGAGTCAAAGGTGGAGAGCACCTAGATGACTCCTTCAGTATCCCTCACTTTCAAGTGCAAAGACCAGGGATAACTTGACTGAGAACACACCAGAGGAAAAGAATCCTAAGATGGAAAATCAATCTCAGTCCAGAAGAAATGGTCAAATCAGTTTGAACTTGAGTAAAACTTGCTGCATTTTTATTGTGTTGCATTTATTACCAGGAGAGAGAATTCATGGTGCCTGAAACCTATTAGGAGCTACAAAAAAGTTTCTTTCTTTATTCATCCATTATGAAATTAATGAAAGCAAGATCTCCTAATAAAGAAAGTGTCCTTAAATGTTTAAACCAGGTAGATGAGCTAGATTATTTGCCCTGAGATTGAATTTTAGAGGTTTATATAATAATGACAGCTATAAATTGAAAAAAAAATTATGGCAAGTGTCTCAATGACAGAGAGTCTCAGATGTGGAAGGGTGAGCAATAAATCAGATGGGCAGTGGAATATTAAATTGCTAATTTTAAGAGCTATTGCTGCCTTTTTTTTTAATACATACTAATAAAAAGGTGAAACAAAATCTCAGCTACATATTTCTTCCTCTTCTCTTTTTCTTCATAAATTAAAGAACATAACTTGTTTGGTGAAAAAGCTCTAAATTTAACCATGAAATAGCAAAAAAAAAAAAAAAGTCTGCAACCAGCTTCATGGAGATGACAGATTAAATATATTTGATGATTACAGAGTAGGTTCCACATGCCCTATATCTCACAGTCATGCTCTTTACCAGGACAGTCTAATACCAAAGTGTCTGCAGATATGATTGCAAGTGTACTGTACATCCAGTCATACTGCAACGACCTAAATTACAGACTATGCCCAGAGTAAATCTGAAACATTGCTGAAGGAATAATAAAGAAGTTGCAGAAAATTGTAACATTGAACTATAGGAGAAATGAGTGAAAAATCTACAGCTATTCCATGCCCACAGATACCTTAATTAGTTATGCAACGTGAGTTATTTTACTAGATTTTCCCAGGCAACACAATGCTGCCTCCCTCCTCCTCTGGGCTTATCATGAAATATTTATGGCGAGTTTTGTTTGTTTGTGCAAACCACAGAAGTGTCACAATTCAGGGCCCCCATCTTGCCCCTCCCCAGCATTTATCTTTTTTATTCGGCATCCTGGGCTCAGCCCAAGCTGTGCAATTTGCCACATCCTTACGTGAAAGGAGCCTCTCATTCTCGCTCTTGAATACAGGCCTTTTTCCCATGCATACAGCACACTGAAATTCCTGACCTTTGTTTTTTTCCATTCTCACATAAACCCTCAGCAATACTAATTTTCCATGTAAGCAATGCAATCAAACAATCTCTTTTAAGGTATTTACAGCACAAATTTATATTAAACCGTATAACTTGCCCTTCAGCAAATGCACGTCTTGTTGCTAAGGCATCTGTCATTCCACTTCTCTCAACCACTTGCTACCATTCCTTATACCTGCTGGGGATATGTTTCACCTCCTCAAAATGCTAATATGCAGGAAGGGAATGGTGCCATTTGGATATAACAGCATATTACCCTATTTTTTAATAGTCTACTGACCATGCAAGGCACAGGACAGAAATAATTAAGGTGACCCTTAGCCTCTTGTATACTTAGAGTAATAATACGTATCCGGAGGAAATCTCCTTGTGCAGATTACAGCTGACAAAATCCAGGAGAGCAATGCAATGCACAGAGAAAAAGTTCTGCTGCTCAGGAATTTGTTGAGTGAGGTCTTTTTGCATAATTAATCTTGATGCAGTTCCTTTCACAGTTTCCTGCAGCTGTTTAAACTAATGGCAATTACATGTCTATGTGCCGTACAACTCTACAGCCTGCACTAAGCTACCACAGAAGTTGGTTTTATTGGGAAAAATAATTGCTTTTCTATAGTGTATGCCAGGTTGGATTTTGATGTAACTTGTTTGGTTTTGGTGGGGTTTTTTTTCCCCCAAACGACAGAAGAGTAAATCTAATGCCAATTCCAATTTTTTGGGTAACATTTGATATGAACTTCTTTATGAAATCTTTACTTATCAGCACCCTGTATTCATCAGGAAGTCTTCTGAGACATTATAGCCACAGAAAAGCACCATAAAGGTCACAATGTTCTAACATACCTTTTCCTAATGCTACCTCTCTCGACCTCCACTCTGTCCAGACCTTGCCTCCCCCGCTGTCCTAACTAAACCAAGCTGCAGGGAGCACAATATATCAAATACGGCTGTGATGGAGCACATGGGAGAAAATGCAGCTCATGCTCACCCAGAGAAATAAGCCTGTACAGCACTGGGTAATAGAGAAACCCTTCCAATCCAGACAGCAAGAATTCATGCATTAACGTGCAAAGGGCTCACTGCTGACTCTTAACCACAGGTAACACATTTATAAATGGTGACTTTCACAGGAACGAGTCAGAAAAGACAGAACGGAAATCTAAGTAATGAACGGGATGGATATAAGTGACATGACAATCCCGGTTACTCTCAACCAACCTATAACACATCACTGATAAAATCCCCATCACAAGGAACGTACCAAACGTTGCATACAACAACAAAAACCACAGAAGCTAAGAAACAGACCTTCTTTACTGCATATGAACAGGGAAGATACTTACACTTACAGGTTGACTTTTTGGCACATCATAAACACCTTCCTTCTTTTGGCTGGTAGGAACCTGCAATAGCAAACGAAAACTAAGGTCATTACCCACATAGGTTTGATGAAGAATTGAAATCTGCAACTGATACTTCAGTACAAGGAAAGCATTTAATGCTAATGAAATCAAGGATGGCTCCCTTTTCATTCAAGCAGTAACATTAAGGGAGACAATACTGAAGAAATAAAACATCTATCTGATTTTTTTAAATCCTGAAGCCGAGTAGTGTTCAGAAACAAGATTTTCATTCTCAGTTAAGTTCAGTAGCATTAAGTCCAGGTGCATTTGGGTATCATTCCTACTTAAATGGTTCTTGTTTTCACTTCACTTGGGGGTTATAAGATGCACGTGTAAGTCATGATCAGGTCAGCATGTCACCCTCCTCCATGGCAGAGATCCAGAGATCTGAGAGAAAGAGATGTTTGGCCTATGGCATTCAATTTTTTCCTTCCAATTCATTTAATAATCTAAAGTCAAGTCGTAGCATGTACCCCTGCAGTGAGGGGGCCCTGTCGCTGCTCTAAGCGATGTTTGGTTACTGTTCTGCAATTTTAGTAAAGAATAACCAGCCTGACAGGGGCTGAGGCTGCACAGCCACCCACGGAGCCCGGGAGCTGAAGTCAACAGCCTCGCCTGGACAGAGGATGACGGACTTAAAAACTTTGGGAGAGTCTTTTGTTGAGTCAAGAGTCATGATTTACACCTTGGGCATTTATAGCCTACTCATGTAAATTCATTCACTCTTTGTGTGCCTAAGGACTGTTGGTTTATATATTTATAATTTGTGAGTGTTTTTCTTTTCCTTCCTAGAAGCACCGAACATCTACTGTAAAGGACACGAGCAAAAAGAACAGTAGAAACCTGCTCCAAGTAACTCAGTGCTGCTTTTCCACTGAGCAAGGGCATTCAGCATAAGGTTACATTTCAGACATTAATGAAACTTCACAGGTTAACAGGAGAAATTATACTTCAGATATGAAAAAATTATTACCTTTTTGGTTTTTTTTAAGACAATAAATATAGAATCATAGAATGGTTTGGGTTGAAAGGGACCTTAAAGATCATCCAGTTCCAACCCCCCTGCCATGGGCAGGGACACCTTCCACTAGACCAGGTTGCTCCAAGCCTCGTCCAGCCTGGACTTGAAGACCAGACTATACATCTTACAGTTCTGATATTACAGTAGGACTGGTTTCAGGGAAGCTGAAGGAATGTTACTTATTCATTGAGATGTGCTATCGTTTCTTATTCTGCATAACATATCAAAAACTCTACTGTTCACACATTCTCTTGCCCATGTTTAAGCATCAAAGTTTTCACAGGAAGCCATGCATCTCTGACTTGGTGCACACTGCGGAGGTTTGTCAAGAGCATGAGCCCAGAACCCTCACAGAAACTGAACAAGTTTTTTAAAAGATCGCTTCTACTCCTATCCCATGAATGACCTGATTGCCGTGCTTTTCTTAAGGCACTGGCCACTGCCACCAACACCACCTATCCTATTAGGTATGTGAAACTGCTAAGAGTGAAATGATTTAATTTCATGGAAATAACAGTCTGTAAAGAGAGAGAGCATTAAGTGACAGTGTAAGAACAGCAACAAAGAACGGGCTATTTAATGTCACTGGAAAGCTTAGTCTTTGTAAAAAGAGGAGAAATGTAGTAAGGTAAAATATTTATAAACTATCATCAGGGTGTATTTTTCTTTTTTCTCTGGAAAGTTTCCCCCTTCAGTCGTTCTCTTCCTCCTTCCAACTTTTCCATGAAGTCATCCCAATTTGCACATTCCTATCCTTACTGTGGAATGAGCATTTCCCTGCACTATCTATCCCTTCTTTTTTACTCCAGCTTGTAATCATATTGGACAAAAGCTCCTGACTTCTAACATCAAGACAGAGAAACTTTTCTGAAAGACGTTTCTCCATCCCAAGTCGATACCGCCTGTTTTTACTTACCATGTATCATCAGGCTTTTTTGCAGCGCTACTTAGACTGAGCCTCTGCAACGGATTTCTCCTGTTTTTTCTTTGATTAGCAATATCAGCAAAGAGGTACCAGCACGATTGCTGCTGACAGCTCTAGCTCTGTGACAGGCTGTGAACTATTTTGACGTCCTTGCATCTTACCAGCAACACAAGCACGGCAACTCAGAAACCCCCATCTCAGATTGTCAACTCCTGATGGAGCAGAATTTGCCTCTCTGTAGAGACTAATGCTGCTACACACACAATACAAAACCACACAACCAAATCCCATCCCCACTTTGCTACCATAAAGCAAGAGATGCCATTAAGAAATGTGACGCAAGGTGAGAGGATTGGTACATGCTTAGTGATCAAATGCCTGCGTAACTAACAGATTAGAGCAACTTATATAGACAGGCAACATTAAAAGAGCAGACACAGACAGTTTTGGGGGTAATGTATCAAAGAAAGGTGACAGAGAAAGAATGCTTAAGAAGGAAATTGTGACTTCTACTATGTTAAAAAGAAAGAGAAATTGTCACTTTCGGCACATATCTTCTATCTTCAGTTACCCATTGGGCAGTAATATTTTCCATCAAGGGAAAAATGAACTCTGCCTACCAGCCCTTGGTTGAAAAACCAGAGCAGGGCCAGAAGAAAGATTTGGTGAGGCTGAAGTGAGGCTGCATGAGGTTATTGAGCAGACAGATGTTTACCGAGGTATAGTATAGGGAAGGTTTTGAAGTAACTAACAGAAGCTGATACCAATTTGCATCAAACTAAAAAAACCCACCAAACTAAAAAAACCCACCAAAGAAACCCAAAATGGAAAATAGGACCTTTTCTATTTTCCTTTTTAATAATAGTCTGGATGGTGCTGAGATCATCAAGATCTTGTAAGAGAAACAATTTTGCTAGTGATCTGAGCGCAAGATCTGAGCTGTGGGAACCCGGAGTTAGAGCAAGCCAAGAGCTCAAGAACTCCGTGGGAACTAGGAGGCTTGTGGCTGTGGGCATGTCTATGATAGTGATACTTCAGCATCTGCCAGTCACCATAGATCACAGAAAAAGTCTCAAAGCTCCCTAATCTCAGCATTTACTGTACTGAAGGTATTGCCTGTAGTAAGTAGAGAGAAGGACAATGCTAGACTGCATACACTGAGAACACGATATATTATGTATCACAAATATGTTCTGTGCATCACCGTGGGAGAAAAAACTTCATCCCATCCAGACACTGGTCAGGTGAAGCCTTGAGCAATTCTCAATTAATTTACAGGACTGTAACAGCAGGGCCTGGAGATGAGGCAAGACCTCACTATCTACTTATCATCTTACTTCCATTCTACGAAAATGTCGAGAGAGTTCTCCTGTTCTTTAGGCCAGGACACAGTTCCTACTTCTTCCCTACCCACCAGAGTTTGCTCTAAGATCTCCAAACACTGGGAGCATTGACCTCATTTTGCTTGTTTCCACCAGCACTTCTCTATAACGTCACTAAAAGCTCGGCACTTCAATGAACAACAATCAGATTTTTTGTCTGAATGTAGCTGTCATCGGATTTTTTGTTTCTAGCATAAAACTGACAACTAGAGTAGTAATTTTTTAACAGATTACTTTCCTGAAAATACTGAAACTTTCAACACTATGCAGTAGGAACTTTTCGACCTTAAGCATACTCTCACCTTGAGAGCTCTGCACATCTTGGTCTAGAGAGGCAGAAAGATGCCTGTTCTAGTCTGTGTGGCAGGGTGCCAGGAAATCAACAGCTAAATGAATCTCACTTTAATTAGATGGGGTCTGTAAGATGGTTATTTTCTAATGTTTAACTTGCATTTCCCTTTCCCACTTAGCTTCTTTCTATTTTGACTTACAGCTACTCTACCCTTTCATTTTTTCTATTATCTACCTATCTGTTCTCATTACTTAAAAAAATACCTTTCCTTTTGTTCTACCCTCACTACTGTCTACCTTAGAAAAGCTTTTCCTATTACCAGATCAACCTCTAGTACAGCTAGATGAAATGCTTAATCACCGCTTGAATTTCCTTCCCCTCCATACCAATTACAATTTTCTTACAGCATACAGAGATTTCTGTCCACCTCCACATTTGCCTCTAGTCTGTGATACAAAATGAACTACACTGTATTCTAATAAACCCTGTACTGATCCCTCCAGGACAAATCAAATGACAAAAGATTATTTTACGTTGCTTTCAGTACGATTTTTTGTCAGTGTGAAGAAAGCCACCTTGGGCTCTAACACAACACATGCACTTCGAAAATATTTACCCCAGTCTTGGGGGGATATCTACTGAGAGCTCTTGGGTTTCGCCCAGTCATTTCTGTGGTTAGCCAAAAAGAAGGGCAGTGCCATCAAAATGTCTTTCTAAGAATTGCTTGGGTGGCCTGCTCTCTCCCAGATCTCAGCATCCATTTCTTCGAATAAGTGCAAAAACTTTCAAAAAATTAACAGGGGAAAAAAAGAAAGCGCATGTACTACCATTTATCACCTTAAATGGTGTACTCAGAAGTTTAACTTCATAAATTGACAAAGTTAATAAAATTTGCAGAAGCCGAAATGACAAAACAACACAAAAATCACACTGAGACCAGCAGATTATTCATGTCATGTCATCCGAATGAAATGCCAGACATTTTTGTGATGAATGAAAACTAATAGAAGTGAGCTACATGTGAGATGGACTTTACTAAATGCTTGCAATCGTTGCCATGAAAAGACCGAAGTTAGCGGTTTTATACCTGATAAATGTTTTCTTCCGTTTCAGGCTCACGGATTGGCTCGTGTCCAGCCTCAAACACAATGTACTATTACACCAGCCGCCAGAGAGGAAAAGTCAAAGATGAAACAGAAGGGAAAAAGGCCATTTGGAATTCCACGTAAAAACACAGGCAGGCATTAAAGAAACAAGTTCAAAGTACAGGCTGGCAGCAGGACAACCGGTTTGTTGGAAAGCACAGAATAAGGTTGTTTCATATTTCATAAACCGGCAATGAACAGACCTAAATCTCCTCTAATGATCATTAGAGCAACTTCCTAATTCTTTCTCACTAGGGAGACTGCCTGTGGCACAATATTAATTTTCTGAAGTCAACGTGAATTTTGCCTCTTTTACATAATGGCAATTATTTCCACATATATTTATTATCTATGAATTAAAAAAAGCTAAAGCCAAACTGGAAGATTAGGCTGGTGCTCATGGAAGAGGCCACATGCCAAAAGGCTGTCACAACACTTTTCATTTGCCCGTTCTGGCTTTATTGTGAAGAGCACGAAGTAAAACCCCTGACATTATAAAAGCTGAATAGTAATTTAGGGCATTCTAATTCTTATCATCTTTCTTGATGCACCTTAGGCACTGTTCAATATTCACTAATGCTGAATCAGTTTCTTTCAGCGTGTCTCCCACTGACATGCCTAAGTGGCAGAACACCAAATCTCCAGGAAAAAAAATACAGTAAACTATCATGTATTTTGTTTTAGCACAAAAACATGAGAATGAAATTACATCATTTTCTTCTTCACACTCCGCAGGGTATCAGACACGAATATATTGACATATTTCTGATAATCATCTTTGCTCCCAGACATTTTGCTTGGCTGAAACAAGACTTAAATTTCAGACCTATTATTAAATCATAGCCGAAATGCCAACAAGGGAGTGTGTTAGAACATCAATTCCACTGTTGGTTTTTTCCAAATAATTCACTCTCTGAATTAAATTCTGGCCCCATAGAAGCCAAAACCAAAATGTCAATTTATTACTATCAGAACAAGATGTCACCTTCCTTATTCTCAGAGTAATTCCCTTTTCAGATAGAGTTTGTATTAAAAAAATATGACAAATCTCATTTGGAAACTTAAAATCTGGACTCACAAGCCACATTTTAGGAAATGTTTATGGAAATGTCACAGAAATACTGTGCTATTAGTCACAGCTTAGTCTCTACTTATCCCACTTTCTTTAGAAATCTTACAAGACTCTCAGAAGACCTAGCTCAGTAAATTTCAAAGCATCTTGTTAAAGTTTTTGAAGATATGGCTAATGATTTCTGAAACTCCAAGGCCACACAGCTTCAGAAATTACCTGGTATACAGGATCTTCTACATCTTCTTCCAAAATTGTCTACAGCAAAGTAAGAGGACAGGCAGTAAAAGCAAAGAACATAAACAGCAGAGATAAAAAGAACTGTATTCAGAAATTAAAGGACAGCAAAGAAATAAGCAAAACGGTCAGGTAAGTATATAGTTTCCTTTCTTTACAGATAAAGTCACATTATTGTACACAGTAACTTTATTGCAGTTCCATCTGAGTTTAACAATCTGTACCATACTTGGTTTGATTCAAATACACACATTCAAGAAGTATATTGAATCTTCCCTAAGGTATTAGCCACTGTTAAAAAACTGACTTCATTAAATTTTTCCTCCTGAATTCGAAGAAACACTACATGGGACATGAACAGATCATTTCCAGTTGCTAGACAAGTTCATCGTACCCCAGGTGACAGCTTTCATCACTGTTTAATCCTACTTCTGAGCTCACAATAGCTGTTAGGTTCATATTTGTCCATTTGATGCTAGCACCGCTTGAACCCATTGCTGTTAAGAAACGCTGAGGATGCTCCGTGCCTCTCAGGAGCAACTTTGGGGGACACTGCAAACCATTATTTTCCTGGCAGTAGTCTAAGCTTATACGTGTACCTGGTATACCGCTTGTTCACACTGTTTGTCCTTTTGTGCCTTTTTTTCCATTTCTTCCCTTTGTTTCAGTTCATAGATGAGCTGAAACAGGTCTCGCAAGTCCAGAATTACAGGTTCAGCCTATGGAAGCAAAAACAGAAAGGAGGGTTTCTATATGGGAAAATATGTTCCTCTTACCCCACCCTGTTGATTGAGCAGTTACAGCATCTCCACGATTGGAGAGAATTTCATACAGAATTAATTTCTACCTTAGCATCCAGGCTCAGGTTAGTTTCTATCAAACTAACTATATTTGCAAATTAAAGATAACTACAGTGGTGGATATAAAAGGCATTATGAATACATATGAATATAAAAGCATATTTATTAGTGGTTTCTCATGTAATAAAATTATGGTAGACTATATGCAAACTAGGTATTTGGTATCTATTACCTTCTATTTAGTTGGGTATAGGGTTATAAACTAATGTGTCTGTGTCCAGTCTAGTTTAGTTAGAAAGGAAAGTAGTAACTAAGTACAAAAAAACCACAATGAAAGATTTGAAATAGTGAAATACATTCCTTTTTCCCAACCTGGTTTCATTAATTCGTTATTTAAGAACATCTAAGCAGACACTTGTGACATGTCTAGCATAATCACAAGACTGGCATCTTGAACAGCTTACGAACACACCTTTTCTATCGAGTCACAGCTGTAGAAAATGTCAGTGATCTGGTACTTACTGCCTGGGCTGTTTTTATTGCCACAAATCTATGATTTCCCTCCTTCCCACATACATATCCAAACGCTCGATGGTCTGTGATATCCTTTGCGATGTATGAAATTTCATGAACTGCATGGTGGTGCTGTAGTAGCTATTAAAGAAAAAAAAAAGTCACAACACAGTGAGAGATATCCATTAAAAAACAACGTAACTTCCCTTTCATCAGTGCTTTACTTGGATCTCAATGCACCTATGGAAGTAAACCAAGCAAACATATCCTGGTATCAAAATCAATTAACATCTGAACTCTTTAAGCCTATTCTCTTCTCTAAATCTAGAAAAACTTGACTTAGTTAAATAATTTGACTGAAAGCTTCAATAGAATATTTTTCTTGATATCTTTTGTTGAGATATAATTCAGTAGAAAATTTCATATTACCTAGTGATTACCTACACAGTATCCTAGGTAAATAATCAATATCTCTAGTTATAAAAAAGAATAAGCAGCAGCTACCTGTAGCTTCATACAGGGTGAGCCTGATGACAGCCTGATCTACAGGGGCTGAGATACCCAATTTCTCTAAGAATCGACACCAGACTTGCTTTTTCTCTGCAACCTCAGCATCAGCCAGCAAGCGACATTGCATTTAAAGCAGTTACAGGACTCCAAAAATTTGTTTTTCCCAGAAAATTAAAGGAAATGCAATTATCCAACTTTAAATCAATGCTAAATGCAAAAGTTCACATTTCATTTTAAAACCATATTTTGGTTAGTTGTAATAATAAAAATACTCGATTTTGGTTTGAATGCATGCATAAAACTCTCCCCAGAGCCAGGACATGAATCTGAGAGTCCTATAAGCATGTCTCGAGTGCCAGATCATTCTCGCTTTGGCCTAAATAGTATTTTATTACCGACATAATATTTACGTATTTCTACTTAGAATAATGTCCTTGAAAAGTTTATCTAAACCAATCTATTAGGATTAATTTCTACCTTCTGATATATGCTGTGCTCTTATATCATCTAGGGATAATGCTATTTCTGAGAGCAGGCAAAGCCTTACAATCCTGTCCTGCTGATTTTGAGAACAGCACATTTTGAAAATCAGCATGGTATCCAGGCAATCTCTAAACAACCAGTTATTTTTAGTTAAAAAAAAAAAAAATCAAAACCCAAAACAACCCAACAAAAGCCCCCATTTTAAAATTCAACACCGGGGAGGACGCGCGTGTGTAGAAAAGGCTGAGCGTGTGCAAGGCAAGTGTCAAGTGCCTGCTGATTTTGAGAACAGCACATTTTGAAAATCAGCATGGTATCCAGGCAATCTCTAAACAACCAGTTATTTTTAGTTAAAAAAAAAAAAAATCAAAACCCAAAACAACCCAACAAAAGCCCCCATTTTAAAATTCAACACCGGGGAGGACGCGCGTGTGTAGAAAAGGCTGAGCGTGTGCAAGGCAAGTGTCAAGTGATGAGACTTCAGAAGAACAAGGACTGAAGTTTGAAAGGACAGGCAGCACGCAAGAGACGGATGACTACATATAAAACAAAAGAGTGGACATTTTTCATTTTCATTTTGCAGGAAATGACTCCTAACTTCCCAAGATGAAGATTGCTGACTCGTAGGAAAATGGAAGGGTAGCCATTGACTTCAGGCTGAACGTGGCTAAGCTGAAGGTGTACTTCAGACTCTCCCAATGTGTTAGGCATTTAAAATTAATGATGGGAACCTACTTAGATAATACAGGGATATTGATTTATTAGGTTTTTCTGAAAACCAAGTTGCATGCTATCTGTTACAATGAAATGAAATGTTCCCATCTCCTATTCTACATATGACAGCGAACGTTATCTCTGGTTTCTATTAAATCAAAGTTCTTTGACATTGCTTTATTGATTGCCAGACAGCATTTTGCACTGAAATTAAACTGTGATCAGATTCCTTCCTCACGGAATTAAATTTGAAGATCGTTCTACCATGGAAAAGTATCACCCACGATGTAGGTTAGCAGATGGAGACACCCCAATTTATTTGGGAACCTTCATTAACCATTCAGAAATCATCACATTTTTAATGGTTATGATATTTTACATATTGCATCAATAGATGTACAAATTAAGGAAGGGTGGCTGCCAGCATTATGGTTTCACATATTTTATTGTACGAAGCATTTAGCAAGAGTTTTTCATTTGATCCTGAGTTGGAACATAGCCGTGAAAGGCAATGTTGCGCACACACATCTGTACTCAAATACAGACAAACACTCCTTCGAACCTCTGCTTTCACAGCCTTCAATTCCTCTAATGGGTCCTTTCTACATATTCCAATACTTCATTAAAAATATTATTTAACGAGTGCCTGATTCTTTGCTCATCGTGAAGCAGAAATGACACTCCTGTTGCAGTCAGTAGAGATTTACCACTATAAAATCCAAGATCAGACCTGTATCCTTTCTGTAAATCTTTGTTTTAAGGATGCAGCCTGCCTAGCACCCTGCACAGCCCTTCCCAGCAGCGAGACAGGCACTAAAGGACAACAGGAGGGACGGCATGAGGAGAAACAGCATCTCAATAAATACACAAACTTTGATGATTTCATTAGATTTGCATCTGGTGCATTCACACAGATTAATTCGTCCCGTAAAATGAGACCAACCAATAGAAATGTCATTTCCATCCCTCAGTTTTTAACTGCTCATATGTACCCACTCCCTCGATACTAAATATGAACAGTCTCAAAAGGAAATGAAACAAAACCCATACAAAACTGCTTATAGCAGAACTGCTGGTCAGTGCTCAACAGTTAATATTCACAAGCTGATCTACCCCTCCCTCCCCCCAGCCTCTTTTTTGTCTTTTTTTTACTATCTTCAAGGTTTTACCATGACTTAATCCTGTCTCTAGTGGGTCAGAAGCACATAAAACCAGTATTTCATAACTCAGGGATGTTTATGACACCCCCGTATGCACATGCTGATGGATTCCATCACACACTATTTGATGTTTTTACTGTATCTTTGCTGAGCACTGTTACGAGCCATTTACCAATTCATAAGTGAGGTATCAAATTGTTTTGGAGGGCTGCAGTACGACGGAACAAATTATAGAGAAGACTTAATTTGTATTATGGTTCAATACAGTCAATTAAATATTGCACAGATTAGAAAGTAATTTAACATTTAAGCTTCAGTTGTTAAAAAAATCCACTGTACATAGTCTCCAAATTATTTTAGGTCTCCTGTGAATGTAGTCACTTTTGCAAATGTCGAGGATTTTAAATGCAAACATTGATAAAATCTCAAACTGGATAACTAAGTCCCATGATGCATGAGGCTTTTTAGACTAAGCATGATGTCACGATTATACTTTATTCATACATTAGAAAGTTTTCTCCTGGTGTTAAACTTAAGAAGTCCAAAATACCCACCTCCAGCAAGGCTGCTGTCTTCCCTCTTCCCCTTAAGTTCTCCCCAGTCTCTCCCACTAGCCATTATTTTCTCTCCTTTTCTCCATCCTATCCCCCGATTCTCCCCTTCCCCCAGGTTGCTCCCTGTACATCACATGGAATTGATTTAGCTGCCTCTGAGTTCTGTAGCATTTCTAATTTCCCTCAGGCTGCTTGGCACCTATCATAAATTTTTTCACCCCTTATCCTCATCTTGCCCCTTTATTTCCATGCTGTAGCCTCCAGTGCCACTAAATCAATTAAGTCAATCAATTAAGTACTTGGAGGGTCCAGCAATCATGTCAAATATGTGAGTTAGATGGCATGAGAAAGTCACTGCTTTACTATCGCTATTTCTCTTTTAATGAGGTTGTCTATTTAGTGGAGCCTGGGGCACAGTGTTAAGAGCCACAACAAAAAATACCCTGCGAGCTGCAAAGCCTCCTATAAAAGCTGCCCCACTGAAAGCAGGAAGCATGTACCATACAACGTTCTATCTGTGAGGACAAGTTCCACAGGGATTTAAGTTGCACAGCCTTTCACCTTGAGTAACTAAATGGTGAGCTCGCTTTCAGATAGGTGCTATCAGCTGACAGCCAAGCTGTTGTAATTTCCACGCTACTGATACTGGGATGTGGGTGACAGACGTGGCCCAAGTAACCTCTGCATTTCTGTTCTTGCCTATCCAATCCTACCACATTTGAATAAGTGATAATATATTTTGTGTGACACGTAAAGCTCCCCAAACATCAAAGACACCCAACAAACTGCAATGGATTTGTAATAAAATAACTTTATGGACTACAGTTTCAGTCATGCTTCAGACATACTTGCAAATCCCCTGTACTCCAACTCACGTTGTGATTGCTCAGTGGCACTTTAGGAAATCAGGCCCTATGTGTTTAGGAAGACTCCTGAACAAACTGTGGAAACCGACCCTAATGTGGAAAATTACGGCAATGCCTTAACAACAAGCTTAGCCAGCCAGAAGTGCAATAGTGCATTGCCCGTTATTTACTGCAACCCATTAAGTGAAAACAATGAATTGTAAAATACGTGAGTGCTTCCGAGATGATTTTTATCTCAGTGCTGCAATACCAAGTGGTACAGATGTGTGGCCAGCAGCTCCACTGCACCTGGGAGGTTGCTGTGCTCAAGACACACGTACGACAGCACTTTGTCAAGTGCTCTTCATGGTCAATTCCTGTTTCCTTCAATTGGAGATTTGCAGGGATCATGGGATAATGGTCACACACATTTCTTGTATTTCCTACATTTATGCTATAATGCTTAGTTGCTGTTTCATTAAAATGCACTTAGTAGAGGTGGCCTGGAGCTGCTCGTCTCCACTGTAAACACCCCACAGTCCACATACACGCTCAAGGAGCGGACGTGAAACACCTCATTTCTCTACAGCCGCAGTCTCAAATCCCAGACTGTCTTGTCTTACAGCTCTCAGGCATGGATGGAGAGTAGTCCCCTGTATACAGACAACAAAACCAAAAAAAGGCGCACAGGCATCTGGAACAAATATTTCATCACACCTTGCTGGCAAGGGGTTTACCCATTAACGACACGTCAATACCTGTTACGCAGTTGTGAATCTTTCAACTTCCTTTCACCCTAGAGACAGTGGCAATTCAACGGGGCTGTGCACAGACAGTTTGGGGAAAAAGTCACCGATTGCAAATGTAGTGAAATG